CTAATTTAGTTTTTATATTTATTTTGTGTTTACTCAAAATTACAGTACATAAGTACCCACTTACATGGCTGTGTGTTTTATTGAGACAGTTCAGGTGAAGCTACAGCAGTGTCTCACCTGGGATTCGAACCTACAGCCTTTCAGTTACTCATACTACTCCTGTAAAACCTGCAGGCCTGTTTTTGGGCTCCAGAGCCACAACTTCCCTCAGTGCAAAGCACAGGACCTTGTCTGACTTTGCGGGTTCCTCAATGCCTAATGAGCCACTGTGTTAACGACCAATTCCACAATTAAGGTCAGTACTGTCACCAATATGAACTGGAGGACCTGGCAGCTGTGAAGTTCTCAAGTCTTCCTGTATGACTGAAGTAAACCCTGATCTCCTTTAATGGTGCTCCTGACTGGTGTTCTTGACAAACTGTCCCTCAGAGGCCCCCCCAGCACAGACACAGGCTCTTTCCCGCTTCCAACAAAGAAGGATTAATAGATACGAGTGTTACAGCAACTGCAGACGCCCGGTTTCTCCCAGCTCCCACCTGCAGAAGGCGCTGGGTGGTCAGTGATCACTGATGAATTACAAAAATCTTAATAACATACTGAGCTTAAAATATCTAAATATTTGCCTCAATTGGGTGCTTAGATTCACTGGAGTGCTCAACTCCAGTTTTTCTCATTCCACGTGTGAAATAAAGCCCAAAGACTCTGGCTTTGATCATTTTCCAAGGTTTTTAAAGGAAATCCCTCCTATTCATGGGCCAGGAAATCATGCTTGACCCTTTCCTGGAGCACGGCGATAATGTGTGAAGAGCTCAGCCTTGCTTAGTGCTGTGTGACGCCCCAGCAGTGCAGACAGCGGGTGCTGTGTGTTGGGCCAGGCAGAGCCTGAGTGACAGAGCTGAGCCCACCTGTCACTCACCTGTCACTCACAGGGGCCGCGAGGGGGCCGGGCTGACTGCTACTAATTACACACTTCAAACTCGCACATTTTAAAATGCTGCACTGATTAAAAGGTTCTCGGAAATCACAGTGAATTGTTCCTAAGGGCTTGAACTCTTCACTTATCTTAATTTAAAATGCATTTTTTAGACAGCTCTTTAAAACTCTTCCAAAGCAAAAAAAACTTCTTAAATAAGACATAACTAATATTAAAATATAGAAAGATGCTCTACATACAAGCGAGAAGGCAGTGCTTCATGAACAGACTGAGGAAAAGGTCTTCACACCTGACAGCAGCTTCACTTCAAGAACTGTGTTAACTGGCAGCCTGGGAACATTATCCTGCTACAGTCTACACTGAAGTATTTAGCACCTGCCTCACTCTTCTGTGGATTGTGAAGAATGGCATGGCAACCAGGACGCAGTCGCGCTGTTGATTTCGAACACCGAATGAGCTCAGTGTGCCCAGCTGGTCTCTCGTGGATAGCCCCCTCAGGTCAGCTGGGCGCTATCACCCACCTCACACCAAGCCAAGCCCGTCCCACACCGAGCCACACCCAAAGACCCATCACCTGGCTCACTCCCCAGCTCCTCCGTCTCCAGCCTCTGTTTCTTCGCAGTGTCTGAGGGGTCGGAGCTGAAAGGCACAGAGCAGACACAGGGTCGAGATCGGAAACAATGGCCCGATTCCTAATTTACACCTTTAATCTTTCAAAGCACTGCTCATCCACGGTTCTGAAAACAAATGGCATTCAAGCAGCTCCGTTTCTGAAAGAAGACAAGTGTCAAGTCACTGAAATTATAACATCATGGAATCTAAGCTCCTTGAGGTGGACTAGAGGATATTTAACTTAAATTAGCATATTTAAACACCAAATATACAACAAAACAAGGTAATACAGCAATACTCAATGCAAACGAGAGCATGGGAAACAAGCTGGCTGCATGGAGGACAGGAAGAGCAGCGGCAGGCAGTGGGCAGAATCTGACTCATAACAGAGGGTGGGGTTGTGGGTTCAAGTCCAAGGTGGGGCACAGCTGCTGTGCCCTTGAGCAAGGGGTTTCACTCGGGCTACTTCAGTGTAGAATCCCCAGCTGTGTGAAAGGGTGTACACATCAGTCTCGTTGGATAAAAGCACTGGCTAAATAAATGATTAATGTTAAGATGACGAAGGAATACATGCGATCTTTATAGCTCAAACATTCTCAATCAATGTTACTTTGTCTGCCTGTAAAGCTGTTAATAGAAACAGACTTAACCAGCTGCCCATAAGACATGATCAGTACACTTTGTATTTGCAAACAGTGGCTCAAGGGACTTTACAGACTCGCAGAGCGAGTGGCGGCTTCCGGCCGGAGCGATCGTACCTTCGCCTCTTGACTGCGCCCGCCAGCAGCCGGGCCTGTGAGAAGGAGCTCTTACTGTCAGCTGGCTTGGACACGGCTTTCTTCTCGTCCTTCCTGCTCTCAGAGTCTGCTGGCAGCTTCGCCAGAGCACTGTGAGCCGCTGGGTTAAGGACAGAATTCAAAAGGGCAAAAAAACAGAATGAACACACTTCACTGCAAACACACACACACAAACCACGCGCGAGCCACACTCAAGACACACACGCACACACACACACACCAGGCGCGCGGGAGCCTCACTGCAGACACACACCCA